AATTTTTTTGGAGAGATGGTCTCACTCTGACACCCAGGCTGGAGTGCAGTGGCACAATCACAGCTCACTGCAACCTCGACCTCCCAGGCTCAGGTAGTCCTCCCACATCAGCCTCCCAAGTAGCTGGGACCACAGGTGTGCACCACAACACCTGGCTAACTTTTTGTACCTTTTGTAGAGACAAGGTTTTGCCAAGTTGCTCAGGCTGGTATATAATCATTTTTAAAACAAGAGAGAAACACTACAAATGACAAGATTTATAATACTACTACTACTCAGGATTTTGTGGGCATGCATGGTTACAACACAAAGTCTTGCCTTTTAAAGAAACAAAAAAATATACAGGAATGTTTTGTCTCCACAGCTTTAAATTCATTAAGCTTTAAAATTCCCTAGAAAAGCCCACTTACATTAAAAAAAAAATACAGCTTTTCTCTATAAGGAATCACATTATTTGTGCACAAGTCCCCAAAACATTTATATGGTACCTTGGTGTTACTGAATACTTGAGTATGCAAGGAACAAACTCTGGGTCCCTGGGGCTATAGGAGACCCTACCGGAGCTAAGGTTGATGAGATAGTTAGATCAGAGCCCCTCAAATGTCACTGAATCATCGAGGATCTTGTCAAAATGCAATTTTTGATTCAGAAAGTCTGGGCTGGGGCCTGAGGGTTGGCACTGCTAACAAGCTCCCAGGCAGTGCTGACCTGCGGGTCTGGGACCACAGGAAGGGCAGGAAGGGTAGCAAGACTTGAAATCTGTCTCCCCACAAGACTGAGCTGCTAGTGGAGGTTATCACGTCTGTTTTATTCACAGCGCCGACACACAGCAAGTGCTTTGTAGACATCTGTTGAATGAATTGTGCCTACCGAGTACCCAAGCTGGTCCTAAGGCTCCTCTGTGTTGTGTTGAGTTGTGCCTGTGAGACTCCACTCTGGGTCCAGAACCGAGGGCTCCTCCTGGTCCACGGCCCAGCCTGGAGCTGAGCCAGGAGCACATATCAGCTACAGAAATTATCCTCACAGCATGGCCTTGAGTCACAGCTTCTTCACCTGCCTCCCCACAGCCACATCCTGGTTCTTGTCTTCACCTGATCTGCTTATGCTCAGAAGGCCAAAGCACCCAAATTCCCCTGCCTCAGCATAACCTCCTATCCTCCATCTCCCCACACTGATCACATCATACCGCACCACGACCCAGACCCTGGCCTTTCCATCCTGCTCTCCTCTCCCTCCCACCCGGGGCCAATCATCTTGAAGAATTCTTCCACACGCCCCCATCACACTCATCCCTTTACCAAAAGTCCCTACCCCATGGGGTGGGTCAGGCAGGCCTCAACACAGGCCCGTATCAGGGGGACGCCTCTTCCCTCAGGGGCTGCCCTCTGGGATCACCACCCCCGCCCTCTTTGGTTTCCTGCTTCCTATCTGGCTGCAGCTTTTCAGGCCCATTGTGTATTTCCCCATGGTCTGTGCCCACTCGCATCCCCTCTCTGCAAACCTTGCCTACTGGGCCTGCACCTGGCAAATCCATGCTCAGCACAGACAGGGATGGAGATCTCTCAATACAACTGTCTCCTGCCAATCCCTGCCCCAGCAGCCTGAGGCCCAGCCTGCAACCAGGGAGCTGCTCTCCTTTCTCCTCTCCTCCCTTGACCTCGCCCCTCGGACCATGCCAATTCTACCTCCTAAACCTCCCAGGCCAGCCCCTCCCCCAGCTCCCAGTGACAGTGTCCTCAAGAGCTCCTGTCCTTAGGTACCTAAGCTCAGCTCTTGGTGATACCAGAGGTACTGCCAGGGGCTGCAGCCAGGCCTCCTGCAGAGGCTGAGTCCCCCATCGCAGGGAACAGCCATGCCACTGCTAGCAGACAAGTAAGAGAATGGCCACCTGGGGCCTGAGTGCTCTTGGTCACCTACAAGAAACAAAGTGTCAAGGAGAAGCTGCCCGAAGCCCATGGGACAAACCACTGGGGATTGGAACACCAGTAATTCCGCATTGGGAGGGGGCACCAAGAGATGTGCTTCTCAGAGCCTGAGGCTGCACATGGATGTTGAGCAGTGCAACCGGCTACCAGACAAACTCATCTGTTCCAGTGGCCTCCTGGCCACCCACCAGGACCAAGCAGGGCGGGTAGCAGAGGGCCACCTGGAGGTGATGACAGATGAGATCCCGCTGGGCAGGAGGCCTGAGTGAGCTGAGTCAGGCTTCCCCTTCCTGCCACAGGGGTCCTCTCACCTGCTGCCATGCTTCCCATCTCTCATCCTCCTTGACAAGATGAGGGGATACCCTTTAAGTAATCTTTTTTCTTGTTTCACTGATCTTGAGTACTAGAAAGTCATGGATGAATAATTACGTCTGTGGTTTTCTATGGAGGTTCCATGTCAGATAAAGATCCTTCCGACGCCTGCACCACACCACCCGCCCCCCGCCTTGCCCGGGGTTGTGGGCACCGTGCTGCTGCACATATAAGGCGGGAGGCTGTTGCCGACTCTTCAGAGCCCCACGAAGGACCAGAACAAGACAGAGTGCCTCCCACCAATCCAAACATGAGCCGCCTGCCCGTCCTGCTCCTGCTCCATCTCCTGGTCAGCCCCGGACTCCAAGCTCCCATGACCCAGACAACGTCCTTGAAGACAAGCTGGGCTAACTGCTCTAACATGATCGATGAAATTATAACACACTTAAACCAGCCACCTTTGCCTTCGCCGGTGAGTAGCTGGGATAAGACTGGCCTGCAGCAGGGAGGGGTGGTGGCTGCCTCAGGCCAACAGGCCTCATGGGCCTCTCTCTCCCTTCACCCCATAGGACTTCAACAACCTCAATGAGGAAGACCAAACCATTCTGGTGGTAAGAGCTCAGCCCCTGGATCCCAATCCACTTCCTGCCTGGGTGACTTCAGCCATGTCATTCCATCTTGCCTAGCCTTGCTTTCTTCATCTGTAAAATAGGGTTAATAGCGCCTGTCTCAGTGGGACTGTTATGACAGTCAAATGACACAATGTGCATAACGTTCTGGCCCAGCATCTGGCACTTAAGGGTTCAATACGTGGCCACAGCCATGGCTATAAGAATGAAAATGACTTTTAAATTAGAAAATGAAAAGGCAGTTCTAGGTGAGGAATACTAAGGGCCTTAAGGTCAGTTTTTGGTAGGACAGACTCTGGACTGACAGACGGAAATTTCCCCCACAGATGTGCCAGCTTCTTTTTCCCTTTAAAAAGTGAGTTTGTGTTTTCCACCCTCATTGGTTGTGGCAATATCATTTACAGTTATTTTTCATGGTTCCAGTTGGTTGCAATGGTTCTGTCTCACATTTGCATGACATTTCTTGGGTCAAACAAGAAGTGGAAGCCTTTGCTGAGTTCCTGGGCCATCTGTATTTGGGGCACTCACTGCTCACATGCTGCACCCACTTCCATGTTGCGGTCTCTGTGATTTTCTTCTTGATTTCTAGGAGACTTTAATTCAGTCAGGGCATGAATGCTGTTATCAGCCTTTGAGCTACAAATACTTCCCGTGGAAGACCCCCTGCCTTTTGTAGAGTTTCTTTTTGGAGATATTTTCTACCCCAAATGCAGAAAGATCCACCTAGGTCCCCCCTCCCCTCCCCTTTTTTTTTTTTTTTTTTTTGAGACAGAGTCTCACTCTGTTGCCCAGGCTGGAGTGCAGTGGTACGATCTTGGCTCACTGCTACCTCTGCCTCCCAAGTTTAAGCCATTCTCCTGCCTCAGCCTCCCAAGTAGCTGGGACTACAGGCATGCACCACCACTCCCATTTTTGTATTTTTAGTAGAGTCGGGCTTTCACCATATTGGTCAGGCTGGTCTTGAACTCGACCTCAGGTTATCTGCCTGCCTCGGCTTCCCCAAATGCTGGGATTACAGGCTTGAGTCACCGCACCCGGCCCACCTAGGCCCTTCAGGCAGCTCACATGGAGCCAGAGACTAGGGGCTTGAGGAAACCAGGTCCTGCCTGCCACTCACTTCTAGGCCTGTGCTCTTGGGCAGGGACCCACCTGAGGCAAGAATGGGACTAGGAGGGAACCCGAGAGTGGGCTTGGGAAACCGTGGGGGTGACTTCCAGCTGCTTGTGGGAGGAATACTCCATAACCTTTCCCCCGTAAGTGTATTCTCTGCCCTGTTAGGAAAAAAACCTTCGAAGGTCAAACCTGGAGGCATTCAGTAAGGCTGTCAAGAGTTTACAGAACGCATCAGCAATCGAGAGCATTCTTAAGGTATGTGAAGCTGTTGAGGGTTTGGGATCCCTGTGTTGGCCCTGCCCTGCCTCTGGGGAGGATGACAGCAGGGCCCACTCCCTTTCCAAGGGAATCTCTGACCATCTGCTTTGATCTCTTTCCACAGAATCTCCCACCATGCCTGCCCATGGCCACGGCCGCACCCACGGTAAGCTGTCCCCCAAGATGCCCCTGTCGTGGCTTGCTCCTCAGTTGGTCATCACCATTATAGCCTGGACTCACCTAATCCCACCTTCTTGGTTTCTTTATAGCGACCTCCAATCCGTATCACGAACGGTGACTGGAATGACTTCCGGAGGAAACTGAAGTTCTATCTGAAAACCCTTGACAATGAGCAGGCTCAATAGACGACTCTGAGCCTCGAGATCTCTTGAGTCCAACGTCCAGCTCGTTCTCTGGGTCTTCTCACCACAGAGCTTCAGGACATTGAAAACAGCAGAACTTCTGAAACCTCTGGCTCATCTCTCACACAGTCCAGGACCAGAAGCATTTCACCTTTTCCTGCGGCATCAGACGAATTGTCAATTATCTAATTTCTGAAATGTGCAGCTCCCATTTGACCTTGTGCAGTTGTGTTCTCATTTTTATCCCATTAAGACTATTTATTTATGTATTTATTTATTTATTTATTGCTTTCTGGAATGTGAAGTGTATTTATTTCAGCAGAGGAGCCATGTCCTGCTGCTTCTGCAAAAAACTCACAGTAGGGTGGGAAGCATGTTCATTTGTACCTCGAGTTTTAAACTAGTTCCTAGGGATGTGTGAGAATAAATCAGACTCTGAACAACTGCTTTGTTACCAGTGTTTCAATTTGATTTGGGACTTAGTGACCATTTTAGAGGAGACTGGTGTGCCACGAATCCTGGGTGGCTTGATCCTGCCACGTGGATGTTGTCTGTGTGAGCTTGTTCTCACACTGCCCTCCTGCCACCCCCATTTCCAGAAAGGTGATGATAACCCTAGCAATCTTGAATATCCACAGAACTGCTACCTGGTACCAGAAGCCATTCTCAGCACTTTACCTGTGCTACCTAACTTACTCCTCACACCAACCAAGAGTATGTTTTCTCCGTTTCACGGGAAACTGAAGTTCAGCGTGGCTGAGCAACTGCCTAAGGTCACACAGCTGATAATGGCCCAGCTGTGGCTTGAATTCAAGTCCCTGGGGCTCTGGAGCACACTGATCCTGTGGCACGTCTCCCCCTAGTGGTCCTTCCAGAAACTGCAACAGCCGCCCCTGCTCCTCCCAGGGCCAAGTTCAAGGACCAACATCCCCTGATCCCCACAATGCAGCAGGTTCTGCTGACACAGGCCACCCAACCCTTGATTCCACTCCTTTAAGACCCTCCAAGCCTGGAGTCCCCACCCCTGCCTAAGCCCCCAACCTCTCCTGCCTGATGATTTAGCAGCCCCCCTGCAGGCTTCCTGGCCAGCCCTGGAACCCACACCCTGACAATCTGTGCCCTACTGGGGAGCCAGACGGAGTTTTAGAAAATGCAAATCTGACCATGTGGATCTATACTGAATCCTCCAGTCCTCAGGGTCTTCTGGACCTTGTCCATATCCTTAGGACAATATATAAGGCTCGCCTCCAACTGTTGCTTCTATTTCCCCCATGGCTATAACCCTAATCAATGCTCCAGCCAACAGGAGTGCTGGGACTTCCTACAGAGGCTTCCATGAAGCCTCTCTTCATGCCCCTGAGCTTCTATCCACACTGTCACCTCAGTATGGCATGCCCTGACTTGGCATGATGAGCTCCTATTCCATGGACCAACTCAAACTCTGCCCACCTCTGGACTGTCCACACTGTCCCAGGATGGGGCCCTCTTCTGAAATAGGTGGGTACACAGGGACCCACTGGAGGGACAGCCTGGAGGCAGGAGTGCCCCCCTCTAATGCCCCTGACACCACCCTGTGGCCCTCGTCCAGTCTGCTGATGGAAGGAGGGGCAGAGGGGTCTTCCTCTGTCACCACGTAAGCAGCAATAGCATCCTCTCTGATTCCTCCCAAGTCCCAGAAAAGCTTCAGAGGCTGACACCAGGTGCTGGGGTCCTGTCCCCCTTTTTCCTCTTTTCCACCTTGATCCATCCCGGGATGTTTGTTGTTGTACTTAGCCTGGGAGGAGATATAGAGGATGCTGCTGCAGTTTCTGAATTGACCAGTAGGGGGAGGTGTGTGCCACTGGTCTCAGGGCACACCAGGGTCCTGGAGCAGCCAGGCCTTAGAGGGTGTGGTGACAGGCCTGACTCTGGACTGGGTTTCCCAAGTCTCCTGTACACCCAGCCCCCCAGCCCTCACTTTCCCTCCCTCTCGAATGTGACAGCTGGTCCTGTTTTCATCCTGGGCTGAGGCAGCATTTGTGCCCCAGTCTCATGTTCCCAGAGGAGTCGCTGCTTGTCACCTCCTCTTCACACCCTGGAGAGTGGGTCAGCAGCCATCTCCTCTGCTGGTCCTGTGTTAGTGACTGATGCAGGCAAGAGGCAGGGTTAGTGGTTGGACCAGACACAGACCTGGTGCAAGAGGCCAGTCGGCAGGACCTGTGGCTGGCCGGAGGGTGGCAGGTGGAGGTGACATGCTGGAGAGGGCAGCAGGCGGGCCTTTTCAAATGTGCTGAGGGCTCCTCGCTGCCCTTCTGGAATAGTATAGACTGCAGCTTAAAGCCAGGTTGGGGCCAGAACCAAGTGGCAGTCAGTTCCTGGACAGGTTGGGGAAATTTCTACATGCTTTAGACAAAAGGTTTATGTTCCCTCCAAATTCATATGTTAAAATTGAATCCCCACTGTGATGGTATTAGGATGTGGGGCCTGTCCTTTGAGCCAGGTCTATGTGTCCAGATGGCACCAGGGGGCAGCATCGCCCCATTATAAATTCCAGAACCGCCAGGGAAGGCCCAAGTTTCTGCCTTCCCACATCCCAGGCGTCTGTCTCCTCAGGGGGAAGGTGGATTACAGCTCTCAGCCAGGAATTTTGTTTTTCACTGAAAAATACTATTGTGGGAGTGAGACTCAGTCTCAAAAAAAAACACTATTGTTTTTCACTGGAGGGGAAGATGGGAAAGCATATATACTCTTTACTGAAAAACTTGGAAATGCAGAGAAATAGAACAAAGGGAAAATTGACAGAAAGGCAAGTGCCTAAGGAGGGCATAACTCAGAAGGCACAACCAGCCTCACCCCCTGACGGGAATCCTTCCACTCCAGGAAGGGGCTCTGCTCCTTCTGCCCTGGCCTCAAGCCCCCATTTGACTCAGTGGAGCAACTGCTCTGAGGACTCTCCATAGCTCCCCCAGGCTGGGGCGGGCATAGGTGAGGCACTGGGCCAGGCCTTTCGGGCCTCCCAGCCATGTGCAGTTGGCTCCGCACAGTGCGGTGGGGATCATTACAGACAGCACAGGACTGACGGACGGGCGTGGACCTCCTCGGAGGCACTGCCTACAGGTGGCGCAGAAGGGGCCTGAGAAGTTCATCCAGCAGAGAAGGGTGGGAAAGGCACAGGGAGGGAAGGAGGCAGATGCCCTGGGGGAGAAGGGCATGGAGGTCGAGAAGACAAGGTAAGCGGAGGCACAGGAGAGTCTAAGTAGTGCAGAGACCAGAGTGTGGCTGGGTGCCAGGTGTCCAAGGTGAAGACGGTGCCCTGGGTCACTGCTTTTGCCCCTGGAACCCAGCCAGTCTCGGCCCCAGACACCTCTGAGTCTTAGCTAGTCTCTTCTCCCCATTCTTCCCTCCCTGATCCCAGGCCAGCCCAGTCCAGCCCAGCCTGGCCACTGTGGAGACCGCAAGACTGGACGGCCATGGCCTGAGGAGCGGTGGGTGGAGGGAGGCGGAAGGACAGGATGGAGCCATGGCAGACACTGTGTTTAACACCAACAGGAAGGAGCCAGGGCAGAGGGAGAGTGGTGCTGGAGGAAACAGGAGCTAGCCCAGCAGAGGGGGATCCCTGGGCCCAGGAAGATGTGGGACCCATGGTGGGAGAGAGGGAGAGGAGGCAGAGGTGGTGTGGATCAGGGGTGGGGGCTAGGGGCCCAACTTTCCCCCTCGGAAGCCTCAGGTCAGGCTCAATGAGGTGGATCAGCAAAGTTGCTGCTGCCCTCCTGGACTGAGAAGGGACTGGAAGAATCCCCACAATGACCCAGGCACTCAGGCTGTGATTAGCCCCATTACACAGACAGAGACTGAGGCAGAAAAATGAAGATTATTTGAGTCCAGAGCTTCTGAATCCTTAAGCAATAGTGGTTCACCAGTGCCCACCGAGGCCCAGGAATTCTTTAAGTCTGACTCTGGTCATGCCTGGGGTCTCCCCTTGACTGGATCCAAGCCTCCCATGGTAACTTCTGCCCTACAACCTCCCAGTTCCAGCTCCACACTTCTCACCTGACCACTCTCATGCTGCCTAGTAAATGCCTCTACATGCCCATCTGTCCTGTCTTCCTACCCGGCACTCCCTCCCCACAACCAACACACATGCTGGGGGCTTAGATCCAGGGAGGTGGTCCTCTGGGCTCCTCTCTGTCTCTGTCCCCATGCCTTAGTGGACTCCTGAGAGAGACCCTGGTTCCCAGCTGTCCCCTGCCATGGCTGATTGCCAAGGCCTCTTCCAGCTCCCACTCAGGCCCCCCAAAGACCCCAAGCTTAACTCCACCTCCAGCCGTGGTTCATGATGTGACCCCTTCCCTTTCCCCTCCATGAGCCCTCCCTGCCCTGCGGGGTCCATGGAATCCTTCTGGTGTGAGGCCTCCTTGCCTCCTCCTCAGACTCATAAGCCCTTGACCCAGGCTGCTCCCAGGACCTGCTTCGGCAGAGACTTGCCTGGAGCCTGCACTTGGAGACTCAGCCCTTTCCTGGAGGGAAAGTGGGCTGTGCTGAAGACCGGCAGGCAGCAAGGACAGCAGGCTGTGGGGGTGGTGTGTGTGCCCCGAGAGGGGCCAAGTCAGGGTGTCAGGGAGGGAGGATAGCTGCAGGGAGGCAACAGAGGGCAGCGGGCGCTGGAGCGAAGGCCGAGCAGCAAAGCAGGGGTCTCCTTCCCTGCCTCCCTTCATGAGCACCGGCTGCGCATCTGCTCTATGTCCTGATCCCATGGGCCGGGCCAAGGCCCTCCTGAGCATGAGGAATAAAAACACTGGGCAGCCGCCGCTACCATTCAGAGAGCCTTGAACCAGGGAGGACTCCCCCACGCAGTGGGTCTCTGATCTACATAGGCCCACGTCCCATGAGGGAAGCCTAAATTTACACTCACCTCCAGGGCATGACAAGGCCGGGAGGCTGGTCCGGACCCTGGCAACCACTCCCCTCTCTTTGATGGACAGGGAGACTGAGGCTAGATGGAGGCACCTAGCAAGCCAAAACAGAAAACCAAAACAGAAACACCTTCCCGTGCAGATATCCAGTGCATCTCCCAACAGCCTGCAAAAGTAGTGCTGCA